TACACGCATTGTTTTACACTGTTTTGATATCATGTTTTTTTCAAGGGCTTCAATACATGAACAAAATGAGGACTGAAGCCTTGAACGCCCAGGACGACACTGCTGGTCCCAACTTCCTGCCAGACCGGCAAACTTTCTGTTGCTGCCCCCCCCGGAGCGGCTCTTCTCAGTGAACAGTCAGTTCAGTGTCTGCCCAGTTATCATGAGCTAACGCAGCAGCGGCTGACATCCAACACTGAGCCATTAAACAATCCCAACAAACTCACACTGACACCAAAACATCAAGACTCTAACCTGTTAATAACATTAGGTAACATTAGCCTTGTGATGCTAATAGTTAGCCCTGTCACTGCATGTGTGTAGCTGAACTCTTTGTAACCAACACGGAAATTTCAGCTTAATCACAGTGAAACGTTTGCACCACACATAAGTTAATGACATGATGACAGGGAAGAGAGAAGCCTTAGCTTTTTGCTACAAAAATATTGAATGCTCTGATTGTTATGTTTTTTATTTTAGATCAATGTATCTAGGATTACGCAGACAGTGACCTCCTGCAGCCATTACATGGATATACCATATTTGCACTGCACGTAAGGTAAGGCCATAACGTGGTGACGCTGAAGACACAAGCCTTAGCTTTCTGCTGCAGCTATTATGGCTGTCATTTAAGATGGATTTAAACAGGATCATTCAAACAACGATCTCCTGCAGTCGTCCACAGGAGGTCCAATTTTAAAGGGTTAAATATATCTGAAGGGAACAGAGAGACACCAGCCAACAGGTCACCAACAGTGTGAACTATAGTGAGCGTGATGACCTCCAGTCTTTTTCTCTGTGGTTACTGCAGACATGATGTGACGTACAACAGCAGCCCAGTGAAGGCTCACAGCAGCAGAAGATGGAGGGTTAACCCTGATAAGGACCCTCTCTCCCCTCCCCCACGCAGCGGAGAGCGTACCCCCCAGTGAACACTCAGGCCTGTAAATTGTTTATCAGACACTAATGCAGGAGCCTAATCCTATTTGCATTCATATTAGTTCCCCGTATCACCGTCTGAGGGAATGACTTATTTGAATTCTTCTGAGGGGTAAATAACTTTATGCATGATATCAGTATCTTCATAATTCACATCAGTAAAGTCAATTTGGTTTAAGTGCTCCTCCGGAGACGTTGTGAGGAAACTTATTTGGAGGCGGTTTGGATCACTGAGCGCGTACACATGAGGGCGGTAATGGAGTCTATCAGAGACGCTCTCACATGTTTCCCCTCAGAGGGTTAAACTCACAGTCAGCTCTGAGCTGCAGGAGCATGTTTCACTTTCACTTTCTGCCCTGTTTTTATTCAGTAATGATGAGATTGGACTGTTAATTGTCTGCAGACTTATTTATACTCACTTTACATATGAAAATAGATCAGTTTATTTCAAACATTGTGACCACCATCACGTGCCTTACAGTCTATGCTTTAAACACAGGCAGTGTTGTAGACAGTGGTGGTCAATGAGGTCATTAAATACATTGCAACATGTGAACAGAGAATTGTTTTCACTATATCACTGATTTGCTCTGTTCTGCTATTTTTAAAATGTCTTCATCGTCTCTTACTTTCGTATCTTGCTTGAACTACGCTACACTGCCCCTACGAGCTCTGATGGTGCAGCTCCATTGTGTCTGTACCCGTAAGCTTTCAGAAAATGTGCAAATACAGACGACGTGAACGCAGAGTACGAACAGAAGGTCTCATGTCCATATACTTATCTATCGTTGAGCATAAATGAGCCCTTACTTTGTGTTGGTAAATGGACCTGCACTTGTATAGCACCTTTCTACTCTTCCAATCACTCAAAGCGCTTTTCACGCTACCAGTCACATTCACCCATTCACACACACATTCATACACTGGTGGCTGAGGCTACAATACAGGGTGTCACCTGCTACTCAGTTTTTAACACACTCACACACTGATGGAGCAGCCATCAGGAGCAATTTGTGGTTCAGTATCTTGCTCAAGGATGCTTTGACATGCGGACCGGAGGAGCCGGAAATCTAACCATTGATCTTCCAATTAGTGGACAACCCGCTCTACCTTCTGAGCCAAAACCGCCCTAGTTTTATTAGTAAAATTAATTTTATACCTTTTAAGGTGGAACATTAACTTGTAATGTTACTCAGTGCATGAGTTGAAAACATGAATCCATCAACACACCTTAAATTTCAATGCGACAACTCTGACCATCACTTTGGTTTGTATATGACAGACACTTTTCGTAATGAGTGGATCTTCAAGTTTTTAAAAATATACAGTACAGGCCAAAAGTTTGGACACACCTTCTCATTCAATGCGTTTTCTTTATTTTCATGACTATTTACATTGTAGATTCTCACTGAAGGCATCAAAACTATGAATGAACACATGTGGAGTTATGTACTTAACAAAAAAAGGTGAAATAACTGAAAACATGTTTTATATTCTAGTTTCTTCAAAATAGCCACCCTTTGCTCTGATTACTGCTTTGCACACTCTTGGCATTCTCTCCATGAGCTTCAAGAGGTAGTCACCTGAAATGGTTTTCCAACAGTCTTGAAGGAGTTCCCAGAGGTGTTTAGCACTTGTTGGCCCCTTTGCCTTCACTCTGCGGTCCAGCTCACCCCAAACCATCTCGATTGGGTTCAGGTCCGGTGACTGTGGAGGCCAGGTCATCTGCCGCAGCACTCCATCACTCTCCTTCTTGGTCAAATAGCCCTTACACAGCCTGGAGGTGTGTTTGGGGTCATTGTCCTGTTGAAAAATAAATGATCGTCCAACTAAACGCAAACCGGATGGGATGGCATGTCGCTGCAGGATGCTGTGGTAGCCATGCTGGTTCAGTGTGCCTTCAATTTTGAATAAATCCCCAACAGTGTCACCAGCAAAACACCCCCACACCATCACACCTCCTCCTCCATGCTTCACAGTGGGAACCAGGCATGTGGAATCCATCCGTTCACCTTTTCTGCGTCTCACAAAGACACGGCGGTTGGAACCAAAGATCTCAAATTTGGACTCATCAGACCAAAGCACAGATTTCCACTGGTCTAATGTCCATTCCTTGTGTTTCTTGGCCCAAACAAATCTCTTCTGCTTGTTGCCTCTCCTTAGCAGTGGTTTCCTAGCAGCTATTTGACCATGAAGGCCTGATTGGCGCAGTCTCCTCTTAACAGTTGTTCTAGAGATGGGTCTGCTGCTAGAACTCTGTGTGGCATTCATCTGGTCTCTGATCTGAGCTGCTGTTAACTTGCGATTTCTGAGGCTGGTGACTCGGATGAACTTATCCTCAGAAGCAGAGGTGACTCTTGGTCTTCCTTTCCTGGGTCGGTCCTCATGTGTGCCAGTTTCGTTGTAGCGCTTGATGGTTTTTGCGACTCCACTTGGGGACACATTTAAAGTTTTTGCAATTTTCCGGACTGACTGACCTTCATTTCTTAAAGTAATGATGGCCACTCGTTTTTCTTTAGTTAGCTGATTGGTTCTTGCCATAATATGAATTTTAACAGTTGTCCAATAGGGCTGTCGGCTGTGTATTAACCTGACTTCTGCACAACACAACTGATGGTCCCAACCCCATTGATAAAGCAAGAAATTCCACTAATTAACCCTGATAAGGCACACCTGTGAAGTGGAAACCATTTCAGGTGACTACCTCTTGAAGCTCATGGAGAGAATGCCAAGAGTGTGCAAAGCAGTAATCAGAGCAAAGGGTGGCTATTTTGAAGAAACTAGAATATAAAACATGTTTTCAGTTATTTCACCTTTTTTTGTTAAGTACATAACTCCACATGTGTTCATTCATAGTTTCGATGCCTTCAGTGAGAATCTACAATGTAAATAGTCATGAAAATAAAGAAAACGCATTGAATGAGAAGGTGTGTCCAAACTTTTGGCCTGTACTGTATATCAGTTTTGACTGGATTATGTGAACTACATATATTCTAATCCTCACTTGGAGAAAAAAAAGCATCGTAGAGTTTCGTTCCTGTGGGCCCCAGCAACACTAAACCCCTGAGCTTGCCTGAGAAGGACAAAACGCACAAACCTGCTATTTCTAAATATCCCATGGAGAGAGACTCACTGCAACCTGTTTTATTTTGTTCTGAAAATGTCAGCGTGCAGCCTCGTTCTGTGGACGATAAACAAGCTGCAGACTGACAAAGGAGGAAATACAGTTAGTGCCGGACAGAGCAGTGAGTGACAACAACTCGGCCCAAATTTAAGAGTACTGTTTGCGGTGGAAATGCTAGGGTCTGAGTACCATGTCTGAAGGGTTACTGTTGGTTCCAAAGGTACCATACTGAAAGTGTTTGGTGGAAACGGGGCTTAAAATAGTTCACTAAAATAGACTAATTGTTTCAATTCTAAATCTAAGGTTAAACAATCCCATAAATTATCTGAAAAACAGACACCACAAAGCTAAAAACAAAGCTGTTATTCCATTTTGGAGATATTTTACAGACCAAATGTTTTAAAGACCTCCACAATCATTGGTATGTGTAAAAAACTAAATGTGTGAATGTGAATTAAAAATGTATCGGTGAAAGATAAAAAGAAAACTGTCCAGACGTTCGTGATGAAAGTGATCATTTCTCATCTCATCAGTCAAAACACATTCATTCTGGAAATAAAAAATATTTAAAACACTTCAGGGTGAACAAATACATTATTGAAAACATTAAATCCACGGTGTGACGTGCGGAATAATTACAGCTCTAAAACCCACAAACCCGGAGCACAATATGAAAACATGTAAAATGGTTTTGAAGAAACAGAAAAAAAGCAAAGTGTCAGATTGATGAAGAGAAGCTGTCAGGACGGCGGGGCTTTGAACCTGATCAGAGACATCGTTTAAACAAAGAACAAAGGCAGCAAATGTGGAGAAGAAAGCTACCTGAGAGAGCCGAACACAAAGAGAGGAAGACAAGAGCTGAACACATGAATATACATGATTCTGTCTCTGCGCTCACCTCTTCTGCCTGAGTGATTACCAGCGCTGGGACGCTGCCACCTGACTCCTCAGATGCCTCCTCATTGGCTGGTGTCAGGTCCTGGTCCTGATTCTGATCCCGGTTACAGTCCATTCGATCCTGGTCTTGGTCAGAGCCAGTGTGTCCCTGATGCTCGGCTCGGTCCAGACCTTGAGGTGACGCTGAGTATAAACACAATCAGACTTTACAATCAAAACATTTTGAATAAAAACACAAGAGGGTGTTTATTTAGTGTTAATAATAATAGATTAATATTAAAAATATGTCACTATGTTCCTTCCATCCATCACACTGGTTTATGTTCTCAACACAAATTTGTGTCTATTTACTTTTTTTTGCTGTCTGTGAATACTTCAATACCCATGATCCTCAGCTGAGGTCCGAGATGTCATTTAGGGTGGTAGTGAATTTAAAAGGCCTTGTGGTTCAATTCGTTATTAAACATGTTGTCACGGTTACTGAATTCATCATATCTGAATTAGAAAGTCAATTAATTGAAGCTGCAGATAATAAAACCAAATTATTATCAAACCACTCTTAATGTGAAGCTCTGTGATTGGCTGTTTGTTTCTGAAATGCACCCTGGGAGTCTGTCTAACCCTAACCCCTCCGTCTTTATGTCCACAGGCTTCCTGTAGCTTTGACATCAGGCAGTTGTTCATCTTTTGTTCTAATGATTCAAAGTGGGGAGTAGGCTAAAAGAAAAAATACTGTATATTAACCTCATGCCTGTGTGTTAAACTGGAATTACAAATAATTTTAATAAAAACCTGTACCTTTTTTTTTTTGTTAAAACTGTTAAAATGGTTCAAAATATCACTTCAGCTCCAATAAACACACAGGAAGTTATCCAGTAGGGGGCGATATTGTTAGCAATTGTTTAGCCCAATCTGCAAATTCTGTAGTAGTTACTCCATACGTTGGTTATTCTGTAGATTTGTTACTTCAAACAGATGCTTAGTCTGTACGATGGTTACTTGTTTGTTGGTTAATCTATACATTTGTTAATCCATGTGTTGCGTATTCTATATATTGGTTACTGAGTAGGGATGGTTACTCAGTTTGTTAGTTTCTCCATATATCAGTTATGTATGTTGGTTACTCCATACAGTGGTTATTTTGTACATTTGTTACTCCTAATGGAGGCTTTAGCCCTTTTTAAACAGAAATTGTGCAAATTTGCAGGAAAGCCCAATCAGTCTTCTTCCAGCATTGGCAGTATAAAAACAAAATCAGGGAGTGCAGCAAAATGCCGCCTGCCTACTTTTGTTTATACAGAATGCGCCTTTTTCAGGGCAATGGGGGGCGTGAGCAAGTAACAAAACGTGTAGCTCAGTGTGTGACGTAAACAGTGACGTGGGAGGGAAGCCGTGGCTGGTCAGTCCTTCGGCTATTCTCTTGTAAGTCGGCCCCTTTCTCACCGTCCCCGTCATCTGACGGTTAATGGCCTCTTCGTTTGCGAGGACAAGGAGGCTCCGCAATTCCTTGTCTCCCCAGTTGCTCATCTTTACAGTGTCTGTCAGGTTTGCGTTTCCCTCTTGCGACTAGATGCAGTTTCCTGTTTATCCACTGCCAGTGGGTCGCACGTGCGGCGTCATCAACAGCTCCTCCCACAAGTCATCAACAGCCCCTCCCGTGGCTGAAGGCTGCCTTGGTCTTTTTAAACTAAAAGGGTTCCGCCAATATTGACTACCCTACGAGGCGGAAAATTGGGCACCTCGGATCAACTCGCCAATCCGGCTCTGTGTGTCTAAACGCTCGCAGCTTGCCGGCAAAACGGCCCAACATTCGCCAAAAATCTGGCAGTGTAAAAGGGGCTTTACTTTGTACAATGGTTCCTCCATACACTGCACCATACATTAGTTCTTCATGGGTTACTTCATACATTGGTTACTCCCTATGGTGGTTATTCCTTACTTTGCTCTGTACATTAGTTGATCTAATGTTAGTTATTCTGTACAATGGGTACTCTGTATGATGGTTACTCCATACGTTTGTTAGTCGGGCCATTGGTCACTTTGTAAGGACGTTTCTAAGTGCTTTATCATAGGCAAATGGATTTGCTTGGGTTTCTGTCATCCATTCTGTCAAGTCCAGCTGCCTACCATATAGCACTTAGAATTACCATGACCTGGATGACTGAGAAACTTCATCAATCTGTATGAATGCTTACTCTGTACAATAGCCACACCACTATTTTATACAGTCCATGCTTACTTTGTACATCAGTTACTCTGTAAGTTAGTTACACTTTACTGTAGTTTCTTCATATGCTAGTTACTCTGAACTTTAGTTACTCTGTGGTGATTTGAATCTGAGTAGCGTTCTTCATGTTGAGGTAACAGGATGGCTTTCTTGTTATTTGCTGTTACCACATATGGAACCATAAAAGGGAGACAGCTAATGATAGCTAGCCCCACCCTCCCTAGAATCAAAGGTCTGCTGAATCACTGGTAAAAAAAAACTCTTTTATAACGTTTGTGGTCTGCAGCAGTGCAGTTTTAGTGTGTTGTCAACAGTCCAAAAACTCAAAAATATTAAGTTTATAATCAAAGAACACGAAAACAGGCAAGATCTCTCTCGTGAGAAACTGAACCAGTGAATTTTTGGTACTATAGCACAACTGACTTAAATGATGATTCAGTATCACAACTGTCTCTAATCTGCAGATCGATCAGTAAAACTTCTAAGTATTTCTTTGCATGTTGTATCTGCGGTCACCTCTGTGTTTGTGGCAGCAGCATTAAAGTTCCTGATAAGTCATTTGTTTTTGCAGCATTAATGATCTGAGCGCAGACATCGGCCTCACACTGACATGTGCAGAGGATTGTCACAGTGAAGGTGTGATTACACCTCAACAACAAGTGTTTCCTGTTGTGGTCTTTAGCTGCAAACTTTAACTGACTGCGAGACTTGCATCTCAGCTTTATCCTTGTTCAGCTTTAACTGCTCTACTACAAACTGTTGTTTCAGTGCATCTATACACAGTAACCAATGACACCAGTTTCACTGACAGGAGACAGTTAATCTACGTTCAGACCTGCAGACACAGTCGGCCAATCGATGCATCCTGTGTGTGAAATTTGAGGTTTCATTCTTTTAGTCATGAGCCTGTTTCAGGTGATACTACAACTCTAGAGGTTAAGATGCCACCAGTAAACCTCCTCTGTTGCATGCCATTTCTCACCCCTCACTTCCTGTTATCTCACTCTGTACTTTCGTCTCTCAATAAAAAGAAATACCACAGACTACATGTTGTGATGTGGTACCTGTGACATCACTTCCTCTCTGCAGGGCAGTCAGTTGGACTCCAATAAACACAGGTGACAGAAGGAGACGCTCTGCCAGTTCAAAGGAAAGGTCAAGATGAGAGTTAAATTTAAACTTCCAGACTATATTTTCTGCGTGTGTTTAGAGATTACTGGTCATCAGTTCCTCTTTAAGTCATTTTTTTAATCTCGAGAGCCTGTTCTCAGCTCAGTCACGAGAAGATAATGTTGGCATTGTACTTTTTTGCAAATCATGATTACATTACATCTGTAGGTTTCACATGCATCATATTAACATTTCTAAAGTGACATAGTATATGAGCTGACTTTGTCATCTGGAGGTGGAGGGGATGGTGGATGGTGTGACACCTAGGAGAGACGCCTGCCAAGCTGCAGACCACTGTTCAAAACCAACAAACAACAAAATCAGTTGTTTCCTGTGGCTTTTTAGGCATCAAATGTGGATGTTTTTTAGAAACTGTCCCTGTTTTTCCAGTGGGGATTGGACCCCAAAAAAACAGTTACTTTCCACAGAGACATCAATGGCTTCTCCAGCTGGGATTGTGTCACCAGAATGGGTTATTTCAAGCCAAAACATGAGCTTTTCCTAACTATAACCATGTTTTGTACCTTAACATAACTACATTTTAACCACAGCATTGTTAAAATGTAAAAGGTGCAATGTATCCTCTACATACATGTGGTTTGCAGAAATGTACAGTGCCAAAAAAATTCCAGTGATTGGGCTGCTTTTCCTACTCTGCATGTATAAACCAGGGTTTCTGTTATCTGGTAATTTCAGTTTCGTGTTTGTTTGTTTGGGTTTTTTTTAACCAGGAAAATCTGTTTAAGTCAACAATGTGAATTTCTCCAGTCATGATGTTGGTTGAAAAAAAGCCTAGCAGCCGAAATACATGGGACACGGACGCAGCACAGCACATCTGCCGAAGATTAAGATAAACAACATAGAACTGTGTAAAAATTAAAAACATGTATAATCTGTTTACAAAGTATTAAAATGAACACCTCACTGTAACAGAGGCAATGTGACGCAGCAGAGCAACTTTGTGGGCGTTTTTATATTTCACGGTAAAATAAATGTAAAAGGTAACAACAGTTTTAAACACAGCTGTGAGACAGTAGAATAAAAGTAAAATAATTCCCCCTGAAATGGAGTGAAAGTAGAAAAATATCACAAAATGGAAATACTGCAGTAAAGTGCCAATAAATCAACCCTCACCTGAAGCTCCATCTCCTGCAGGATTTTTGTCTACTTGCTGCTCCTCCAGGTGGTCCTGAGGATCTGGATCACATTTCTTATTCTCTGCTTCGTCTTCAGTATGATCTCTGTCTGCACCCTGAACCTGATCTGGACTGGAGTGAGGACTTTGTTGCTCCAGATCCTGTTTGAGACACTCAGGATCCTGTAGGGTGTCCTGGTTCAGGTCTTGCAGTGAATGCATGTCCTCAGTTTTGGAGCACTGGAGCTCATCATCTAGAGAGGATTCTGGGAAATGTGCCTCCATTATAAGGAGAGTTGTCTTCTGTCAGAGAGTTCAGCTCTGGAACGAGATATCAAAACTACTCAGTGACTCATATTCTTACATCATGTTTATTTATTTTACAGCTTTCATCCTCTGATTTCTTGAACTATCCCATTAAACAAGTCTCCTGATACTGATTAAACAACTTTGATGCAGGTTCATCTTAAGTGTTCTGGATTTAGGTGACCAGAAAACTAAATCAAGTGTTGGTCGTACTCTCGTCTTTATAGGAATCACCAAAATGGTGATCTGCAGGCCAGAAATATTAAAACATAAACCTCAGTTTAGTTGAAGTCCTTTAGACATTTCATTACAGATATAACCTGCAGACACTGCTGCTGAAAACTTAGTAATCTCCTCCATGTTCTCATCCAAACTCGTCAAGTACAGCCACTTTGTCAGTGGACCTACACGTCAAAATATGATGCACTAGGTACCCTCCTGCGTCCGATTTGGATTTCAGGGATGGCATTTAAATTTACACCTGTTAAATGCCTTGTGTCTTTTCAAAATATACTTTTGTCTTTACAGGAAATGCACAGTTTCTGCTAATCAAATGCAAACAGTCTCCAGAAAAATACATCATAGTTTGGCTTAAAACAAGTACGCTTGTTACTAAAGTAATGTCATGTCTTGTGACAGTTCATTATCTTGGCAAGCTACATATACTAGCAGACTATGTTGTTATTAATATAACTCCACTGACTTTTGGTTTCACACAGGAAACAAACAGTCTGACTCAACCACCTCCCCTCCTACCAGCTCTATTAAGACTCTCACTGTTGATGCTATGGTTGTTGCCAATCGCATCACAGATTGTTGCCAAACTGTTGCCATTCGGTGCAACGGCATGAAGAATGCCTCAATGCGTCGGTGTCTCATGCCGAGGTCCTCTGACAAAGCAGCGGCACTTGATAAGTTGGATTGTTGCCTGCTGCGTCAGAAACTGCTGTCACCCGATGCATTTCATACTGTCGCAATGGGTGCCTCCGTGCGTCGGTGTGTGATGCTGACATCAGGAGGTTAGTCTAGGGTTAGCACTGTTGGAATATTCAGCTCGTTCTCACTCCCAACTCATCAAATACCGCTGCTCTGTCAGTGATGTTGCCGTTGGACACCAATGCACAGATACACCCTTCACAGTGATATGATACACACTGGGGGCATCAGTTTTAGGGGCAGCGGGCAGGAACCCAACTCCTCAAATACCGCCACTTCGACAGTCGATGTCAGCATCAGATACATCAGATTCACAACACATTCTCACTCCGACCTCGTCACATGTTGACGTTTGGTCAAGGACTTTCCACGTCCACATATGACATGCAAGGTACCCTGGGTGTGTTGGTTGTTGACACTCTGGGACGCCGTGTCAAGTTCTCTTCTTTCAAGATACACTTTCATTTTCACAGGAAATTTACCATATACATACAGTCTCTTTCAAAATAAAGGCACTACGTCGGTATGACACCGCAAATTGACTTTTTTTTCCCTTCAACCACCACCACTGCCCCACTCAGACCTTTGCCGCCTTAACTTTCATCCTTGTCCCGCTGTGTTTCCCCCAATGCCTCCGGGGGCCGTTACACTATAACGGCATGCCTACGATAAAGGTTTCTGGTTGGTTTCTGACGTTCCAAGTCACTGACCAAGCGCCAGATTTCAATGACTTTGGAGTGAGACTGTGCTCCCTGTCATGAGACACTGTGGGAACATCCAGTCATTTCATTCTTCTTCTTTTCAATGTCAATAACACGTCTATACAATAGTTTTTACAGAAGAAAAGATCAATGTGACGGCTGATTCAATACTTCTCTACAGTAGTTCTGTATAACCACATACAGCCACCTCTGACATCATCTCTCATCATGTTTCAGTCAGGTGGGACGCTGTACAAGATTTCCTTTGTTTGAGACATTAGAATCTGTGATGTCTTCATTTTATTTATTTGCTGTCAGATAACACTCAGTAAACAAACAGTAAATCCTGTCCTGCGGTACTTTTACTGTATACGAACGTGTACTGTATCATCTGAAGCCATTATCCGCTCTGTGAAGTCTCCTCACTTCACAGCAACATTTCCAGCACTTAATAGAGGAGTCCCAGGGGTGGTAATTATGTTTGAGCACAGATAACAAGGATTGCATTTCATACTTGGATAATAACTATTAAAAAGAGTGTTTTCCAATTAATTAAACACACTGTCTTTAAGTAACCTCTGGACATTTGCCCCGCGGGCTAAGCTAATTTATGAGGTACTGGGGGAAAACAAACGAGTGCTTCTTTCATGTGAAAACCTTCACAAAAGAGTGGGTACCATGGAGAATAGGAGCAGAATATTCAACTTTGTACATTCAAATTGTTAACATAACTTTTTGATATGATAAAACCGACTATGGTGTTGTTTCAGGCCTACTGGGGGTCTTGACTGGGCGATGATGAAAGAGTCATGTGAGCTTTTCCGAGCCATTACTTCCTCCTGCAGGAGGCTGTGTGTATTTAATATGAGCCCGAGGAGAAGCCTCTGGAGTATCATTAAAAGCAGAGGAGAAGAAGAGGCGCGTTCACCTCCGCCGCCGTGCAGTGCTTTAATGAAAGATGCTTAAAAAAGCGTGAAAATGCCATCCCATAATCTGCTCGACCCATCTGTAGAGGAGCAGCTTAAAACGGCCCATTTCACCCCGGCGGTGCAGTCATGCTCATGATGTGCTTAGAGGGCCTCCTTAAGGAGAATGTTTTCACATTACTCAGGCTTCATTACGCCAAATCAATATTCGTTTAGCATCGCAGGTTATAGACTCCTCCAGGAATCAAACCTCCATCCTCACAGCCGATCAGGAAAATATATCGACACTTTTAATTCAATGTTTTCTCAGCTGCAGCGTTTAACGAGGAAAATGACAGTTAACGAGGAGAGTCACATCTCTGCTGCTGCCGCTGATGAGAACCTTCACAAATCATTTAACTGTGTTTGATTTAACTCTCCATCAGCAGAGTTGTTTCCTGTAAATTGACTCTGACAGTGTTGGCATCAGGAGTTTTAGCTCCTGACCTGCACTGACACCGGGAACACAAAAAGTCCTGAGGCTGAGGGCAGCTCCTAACTGAGCGAGTGAGAAGAATCTAAAAATAAAGCTCAAGTCCTGACACTCTCCGAAGTCTGAGAGTATCTTACAGTGTTCCCATGCTGATGAAATTACTGCAAAAGTTAAGAAATTAGAAAAACAGTTTTTGAGGCCTAGGAATGGTTTGGAATGGACAGCCTTTCTGTGCAGAGTTTTCATGTTCTCCTTGTGTCCGCGTGGGTTTTCTCCAGGTACTCCGGCTTCCTCCCACAGTCCAAAGACATGCAGCTTAATTGGTGACTTTAAATTGTCCGTAGGTGTGAATGTGAGTGTGAATGGTTGTCTACATCTTCTGGGACAGGTTCCAGCCCCCCTGTGACCCCAAACATAGCAGCTGAGTCCACAGGGACTTGACTTGGGAACCGTAGGCTCAAGTCTCTGTTTGGACCAAGTATGGAGTGTGGACTGGTAGCTGGAGAGGTGAGGTGAGCAAGGCACTGAACCTCCAAATGCTCGAGGCGCCTGTCTAAGGCAGCCCCCTCACTCTGACATCTCATCATTTAATGCATGTATAGATGATGTTTGTGCTTGCGTTTGTATTTTGGGCCTGTGTCTATATGACAACAGTGTGAAAAAATTCCCCTTAATAAAGTATATCATCTTCTTCTAAAACACTTAAAGACAAATTGTTGCAGTTTGGGTCCAAACTCTTCCTCCTTGAATGAAACTCATGTTGAAATCATTCAGTGCAGTGATGAAGGAAGTATTCAGGTCCTTTACTTAAGTAAAAGCCCTGCACTGAAAATGGTTGCTTAATAAAAGTGCGTAAGTACAATCAGGTAAATGTATTTAAGAAATAAAAGTACTCAAGTACTCCATTTTCAGCCGCTTATCTGGGTCTGGGTCACAGGGGCAGCAGGCCAAGCAAAGCACCCCAGACATCCCTCTCCCCAGCAGCACTTTCCAGCTACATCAGGCGGACCCCAAGGTGTTCCCAGGCCAGATGAGATATATAATCCCTCCAGTGTGTTCTGGGTCTGCCCCGGGGCCTCCTACCAGTGGGACGTGCCCAGAAAACCTCTAACAGGGGGTGCCCAGGAGGATCCTGATCAGATGTCCAAACCACCTCAACTGATCCCTTTGGACATGAAGGAACAGCGGCTCTACTCCGAGCTCCCTCCTGATGTCTGAGCTCCTCATCCTATCTCTAAGGCTGAGCCCAGCCACCCCACAGAGGAAACTCATTTTGGCTGCTTGTATCTGCAACCTCATTCTTTCTGTCACTACCCAGAGCTCATGACCATAGGTGAGGGTTGGGACGTAGATGGACCAGTAAATCGAAAGCTTCACCTTCCAGCTCAGCTAATAAATCACAATCACAATTAACCCAAGTACAGTAAAAGCAGAGATACTGGATAAAGAGAGATACCCCACTCAGCTCACTTCCTAATTCAGTGACGTCAGCGCCACGCCCCCATAGGAGACTTGCGGCAGCTCTGAATGTATTGTCGTCAATAAGGAAAATGAACGTGATCACAATTTATGGTCAATTCTTTCGCCTTATAGTCACTAAAGTAAATATTGGGTTCATTTTCCACAAGCCACACATCTTACCAACATTCTGACACTAAAGCTGCATTTTGCATCCACACAGATCAAGAGAAAGTTAACTTTGTTTGAGTTTGGGTTGAGGGAGAACAGGCTCTGATTGGAAGGAGAGCTAACCACACCCACTTAGGAGACAGGAAGAGTAATGTTTTCTTAACATTGGATAAGCCTGCGGTGGGGTATCTCCTTTATCCAATATCTCTGGCAAAAGTACCTCAGATTTGTACTTTAGTGAATGTACTTAGTTACATTCCACCACTGATTCAGTGTGACTTTCACTCACTGAAGATTTCTGTGAGAATAAACATCCTTAAATCCACTTAGAAATCATAAAATAAAGAGGCTGCAGAACTAACCTGAGAATCATCTTGTTTTTAAGTGTCCTTTAGTATCAAAGTAATCCAGTGATAGTTTTTCTGTACGTCTACGGATACTCTGCAGACAGGAGCTGCTCACACATCATCCAGCACACCGTGACTACATGTGGACAGACTGGCTCAAGTTGCAGCTCACAGCTAATCACTAAATTCACTGTGATATTTTACTTCCTGTTTACATCCTCCAAAGTGTTGTGGGAACTATAGTTACAAAATCTAGGGCACAATTATCTACAAAGTAAAAGCAAGACTAAAACAGCAGTGATAAAACTCAATAACATCATGTCTCTCTATAAACGAATAATCAAGCAGATGAATCAGTAAGAGAATAATGTTAGCTGCAGCTGTAGTTTACACACACACACACACACTAATTGAGAGGAGCTGTACACACACAGCTCTGTACCTTAAATAGCTGCTGGATAGTTCAGTAGTTTGGATCAACAGCAATTAATCAATGAAGCTCCTGACGGCAGCTTGGCCTGCCACCTGCATGCTGCTCTCTGCTCTTACCTGAAGATCTCTGCAGCAGCAGAGCCTCAAACACCTCCCGACTCCTGCGTCTATCCAGAGCGGAGACGACACACTGACCGCATCATAACTACAACAATACAGACCTGATGAAGACTGACGCTACTTTCACTCCTCAGTCTTCCTTCAGACACTGCTAATTATAGGACGCACAAATCAGATTAGACTGCGGCTGAGAGCAGAGCTTAAACACACACTGACCTCGAGCCCACGCTACTCCGACAACACCTCACCGGCTGTTTGGACAATATAATCTTTACATTATTAGAATTATTATTATTAAAGAGAATGCAGTGTGAGAGCATTTATACATTTTAATGTTACTGAGCTGCTTCCAGGACTTTAAACTGCTCATACACTTACAGAACACTGCAGGATCCATCCACACAGTGTCTATACTACCAGTACTGGAATCAGAATCAGGGTTATTGTCAGCTAGAGATGGTATTTTGGTGCATAAAAATATATACAGTAAGAGTAGATGAAAGATTAAATGCACCTGCACTTCTATAGCTGACACGAGTCACATTCACACATTCACACACTGGTGGCCGAGGCTACCATACAAGGTGCAACCTGCTACTCAGTTATTAACACACACACACCAATGGAACGGCCATTGGGAGCAACTTGGGGTTCAGTATCTTGCTCAAAGATGCTTCAACATTGGATTGAACTGACAATCTTCAACCTACTCCGCCCCATTAAAGCAAGCACCACAACAGTCAAGAGACTTAAATAAAACAGATAAATTGACAGTAAAAATATTATGAATTATATTTCCAATATATAAAATGGAAGAGCTGTGCAGAACAATAGATCCATCTCACGCTCTGGACTCATTACCTCATCACAATTCATACAATAATCATCTGTGTCACGTGTTGTAATGAGATTAGAGAAAACGCCTCATGTTTGCTAAGTTATTTGGGGTAATTAAAGGGTTAGTTCAGATATTTTGAAGTGGGGTTGTATGAGGTATTTATTCATAGTCAGTGTATGACATACAGTAGATGTCAGTCGGCATGCCTCCAGTTTGGAGAAGCAGGCAGGAGTCCAACACAGAAGCTAAGCAATGTACTGCTGTGGACAAAATGTATTTGATACCTAAAAAAAGTCCCACTTAAAATAAATCAATATCAGTCTAAGTGGACGTTATATTGAGAGTATTTTACCTTAATGTCAGACAGCCTGTTCCAATAGGGAAGCTGTTAAAGACTTCAGTTCTCCTCAAAGCCAGATTCTATTGACAAAAACAGTCATTTTAGCTTGCTGAACGCAGGAGCTGCTGGTCTACCACTGCCTCGATCAACTAGTTAGTTTATGTTATTGTGTGACGCCGAGTATCTGTGTCTGTACTCCTGCCTGCTTCTCCAAACTGGGGTGTTCCAACTTACATCTACTTATGTAATATACTGTCTATGGATAAGTGCCTCATATGACCCCACTTAAAAAATGTGAACTATCCCTTTAAAGTAAATTTAGTGCTATCCTGTTACAATGCTCATAAATAAGGGCGCAATAGCTGCTTTTAATGATAAAACAAATTACGCAGGGGCGTCGGTAGCGTGGATAGTGCCGGTGCCCCATGTACAGAGGCATCGCCTCGCTGCAGCGGCCGCGGGTTCGAATCCAGCTCGCGGCCCTTTGCTGCATGTCAGTCCCCACTCTCATTCTGTCTCCCCATTTCACTCTCTGTCCTGTCAATAAAGGCAAAAAGCCCATAAAAATAATCTTTAAAAAAAAAAAAAATACTGTACGCTTTATTCCAGGGCTGGTCGGCCTTCATTGACCTTGCAAAGGCTCAGTCAGAGGTATATGTTCATTTATAAAGCCACACTGGGTAAACTCCCTTCATACATTTGTACTTTGATTGAACAGAGATCTGATTGTAGCTACAGTCTGAGATCTCAAGACTTGCTGTCTGGTCCTCGTGCTCGGACTGAGCTGGGACAGAAAGCTTTTATGTGCTCTGCTCCTCTCACCTGGAATAACCTTCAAAAAGATTGAAGATTGATGAAACTATGTGAACTGATCTCTGATTTTAAAGCTGTCATAAGTACAAGGATGAATAAGTCGGTTGGGTCTTGTCATCGTACGTAGGTGTGCTAATACTTCGACAGGCTACTGTGTATCTTTATGTTTTTTATTGTGTTGTTGTTTGGCTATAATGAGATTGTTGATATCAAAGGGACTTACCTGTTTAAATATGTGTTAAATAAAAAAATTAAAAAATAATTTGTGTAAAAAATCTCAGGAGTAACACAAGAAAAAAAAAACTGTACATCTGTGTAAAAATCAGAAACAAACAACTGATGAATGAGCCCGATCTCACTCCGAAGTCGTTGAAATCCGGCGCTTCTGCCGTCAGATATTGACAAAATAAGGCATCTTTTATCGTCAGCATGATACGTGGCCGATTGCTGTTATGGTTTAACGGCGCCAGGCAGCATCAGGGGGGAACACGCCAGGACAGGGACGAAAGTTAAGGTGGCGAAAGTCGTAGTGGGGAGGGAGAGGTGGTGCATGGATCCAACAAACACAGACTTTCACCGGAGAGAGCAGTATTCGCATCCCGTAAGATTCTAAAGCCAAACCTTGTTCTTTTTTCCTAAACCTAACCATGTTCGTCGTTCAAGGAAAAAAAAAGTTAATTCACTGTGTTGTATCGACATAGTGCATTTATTTTGAAAGAGACTGTATGTAAACGTTAAATTTCCTGTGAAAACAGAAGTGTATTTTGAAAGAAGACAATGCATATAACAGGCTGAACTTGACACGGCGTCCCAGAACATCAACAACCAACACACCCTTGCACGTCGTATCTGGACGTGGAAATTCCATGACCAAACGTCAATATGTGACGAGGTCGGAGTGAGAATGTGTTGGATGAAAACATGATGAGGAGACTGTAGAAGGATTTCCATCATGTCCTCCATGGTTTAAGCTTTGACTGAAGTTCACCTTACTTCTTCCTCTGCACTGACCAGCTGGTTCTATCCTACTGAGACCCTGTGTCCTCATATAAGGACATTACATTTTGGGTTTACTGGACCTTGTACTTCATTCTACTTAACTTAGACCTGTTGTCCTTGTTTGTGGACACTTTGTTTTGCCATCTAGTGGTAGTTAGGCCACAATACACTCATCCATGTAAAAATATGATGGCAGCCATCTCTGCCAAGTCAGGGTGCAGCCGACTCAGACACAAAAGTGGTAAAGATCCAAAACCTGATCACAGTATGGTTGAAACTTGTTTATTTATGATTAAAATTGTTTGTAGTTTGATATGGCAACAAAAAATTTACCAATTTTAGCAACAGTAACAAGCTAAGACGCTGTTAGGAAGTACTCGTTTGAAGACATTGTGACTTTATTATCATTGATAGTGTTTAGGGTTTTATACTTATCAGGTCCTACTTACCCCAAATAGCAAGAATTTAAAAATGCATGCAAAACAAAAGTTCAGGTCTCAGGAGAATATACATATATACACATATATATATATATATATATATATATATATATATATATATATACAGTACAGGCCAAAAGTTTGGACACACCTTCTCATTCAATGCGTTTTCTTTATTTTCATGACTATTTACATTGTAGATTCTCACTGAAGGCATCAAAACTATGAATGAACACATGTGGAGTTATGTACTTAACAAAAAAAGGTGAAATAACTGAAAACATGTTTTATATTCTAGTTTCTTCAAAATAGCCACCCTTTGCTCTGATTACTGCTTTGCACACTCTTGGCATTCTCTCCATGAGCTTCAAGAGGTAGTCACCTGAAATGGTTTCCACTTCACAGGTGTGCCTTATCAGGGTTAATTAGTGGAATTTCTTGCTTTATCAATGGGGTTGGGACCATCAGTTGTGTTGTGCAGAAGTCAGGTTAATACACAGCCGACAGCCATATTGGACAACTGTTAAAATTCATTTTATGGCAAGAACCAATCAGCTAACTAAAGAAAAACGAGTGGCCATCATTACTTTAAGAAATGAAGGTCAGTCAGTCCGAAAAATTGCAAAAACTTTTAATGTGTCCCCAAGTTGAGTTGCAAAAACCATCAAGCGCTACAACGAAACTGGCACACATGAGGACCGACCCAGGAAAGGAAGACCAAGAGTCACCTCTGCTTCTGAGGATAAGTTCATCCGAGTCACCAGCCTCAGAAATGGCAAGTTAACAGCAGCTCAGATCAGAGACCAGATGAATGCCACACAGAGTTCTAGCAGCAGACCCATCTCTAGAACAACTGTTAAGAGGAGACTGCGCCAATCAGGCCTTCATGGTCAAATAGCTGCTAGGAAACCACTTCTAAGGAGAGGCAACAAGCAGAAGAGATTTGTTTGGGCCAAGAAACACAAGGAATGGACATTAGACCAGTGGAAATCTGTGCTTTGGTCTGATGAGTCCAAATTTGAGATCTTTGGTTCCAACCGCCGTGTCTTTGTGAGATGCAGAAAAGGTGAACGGATGGATTCCACATGCCTGGTTCCCACTGTGAAGCATGGAGGAGGAGGTGTGATGGTGTGGGGGTGTTTTGCTGGTGACACTGTTGGGGATTTATTCAAAATTGAAGGCACACTGAACCAGCATAGCTACCACAGCATCCTGCAGCGACATGCCATCCCATCCGGTTTGCGTTTAGTTGGACGATCATTTATTTTTCAACAGGACAATGACCCCAAACACACCTCCAGGCTGTGTAAGGGCTATTTGACCAAGAAGGAGAGTGATGGAGTGCTGCGGCAGATGACCTGGCCTCCACAGTCACCGGACCTGAACCCAATCGAGATGGTTTGGGGTGAGCTGGACCGCAGAGTGAAGGCAAAGGGGCCAACAAGTGCTAAACACCTCTGGGAACTCCTTCAAGACTGTTGGAAAACCATTTCAGGTGACTACCTCTTGAAGCTCATGGAGAGAATGCCAAGAGTGTGCAAAGCAGTAATCAGAGCAAAGGGTGGCTATTTTGAAGAAACTAGAATATAAAACATGTTTTCAGTTATTTCACCTTTTTTTGTTAAGTACATAACTCCACATGTGTTCATTCATAGTTTTGATGCCTTCAGTGAGAATCTACAATGTAAATAGTCATGAAAATAAAGAAAACGCATTGAATGAGAAGGTGTGTCCAAACTTTTGGCCTGTACTGTATATTCACACAGCAGACTTTGGTCGAGTTTTTTTTCCTGCAGATTCTGTTCAAATTGGAGCTACATTTGGATGGAAACAGTGTGAAGCAGTGGATCCATTATTTTGGGGGTTTTGGGGAACGCAGCATCACATCTCTCTCGGCCGCTCTCCTCCCCTCCTCCCTCCTCCTCCCTCCTCCCTCCCTCTCTGTCTCTCTCAGTCGGTCTCAGTCTCAGCAGTGTTCAGTCGAGCAGCAGCGGAAGTGGAAAACTTGCAGTAGAAACACACAAACTGAACTCAGCACCTCCTGCGATGCTCCTGGATGCTCCTCCGTTTTTAAACCTCCTCTTCCCTCCTTTTCTTCTTCTTCCTCTTCTTCTTCTCCTCCTCTTCTTCCCTCTGCCGTCTCGGGGAAACGCGCGCTGTGGCTCTCCGATGTGAGTTCGCCCGTGCGTAATAGTCCGGCTCCGTGCGCGCCGTCATGGCTTATCCTCAGGGTTTCCTCTTCCAGCCGTCCGTGTCCCTGTCTCTGCACTCCTGCCCGTCCTTCAGCTCCGGGGTCATCTTAGGACCGAGGACGGAGGAGCTCGGCCGCTCCTCTTCGGGCTCAGCCTTCGCTCCGTACTCGGGCTCAGCGACCTCTCCCGGCTTCAACTCCCACCTACCGTACGGCGGGGAGCCCCGGGCCGCCGCCACCCTCAGCTCGTTTGTGGTGAGTGTCGATCCGCAGCGGAGCGGCAGGTGCAGCTGGGGTTGAGTTCAGGTTCTGGGGTTTTAGTTGGTGAAAGTGTCGCTTGTGGTGCGCCACGGAGCTCAGTGCGTAAAAGGAAAGTGTTAAAGAAGCTGCGTTTGAAAGTGAAGCTTTAATATTTGTGCGTTATGGATAAAGTAATGTATATATATTTTGTCATTATGAATCATTAACTGTGTGGCTGGAACATTTATTTACTTATTAACATTTATTTAGCTGAATGCTTGTAAAAGTTTTTATTTTTAACCACACTCAGCAAACATCAGTCATCAGTTCTTGTCCTTCACAAATCTGTTTATAATTTCATGTTTCTTAATGTTGGTGAAAATATATTAAAAGCAGGATAACGCGCTAAAATCCGCGAGCCGTGTTCGGATAAACAAAAACAAAATCACTTTTCAGAGTAATATTATTATTATTTTTATCCCCCAAATCATTTAGTCAGGAGCTGCACCTGTTCCCTTTTCTGCTATTTTTTTGGTTTAATTGTTTTTGTTGCTTATTATTTTACAAATCCTTCCCTGAAATTAATTTCATTTATTGCAGAAACTTCAGTCACACTTTTACCATGTTTGTATTAGAGAGATTTTAATACATTTTTCTTTATTTACAATTTATTAAAGAATTAACAAAAACAGCTGAATCCATCAACACTCCAGTGATAACAATAGTAATTCTTTTTGTGTGTGAAAATAAAAATGGATGTTGCAGCTTTAATTTGAAAGATTAAAATGTGATTGAAAGAAAGGAAAGAAAAAAATAATAACAATAATAATAATAGTAATAGAAAAAAAAATAGATTTAAAGTACGTGGACTGTTTGTGGTGCAGATGGCCTGGGTGGTTTTTGTTGGTTATGAATGCACAACACTGCTGCGTGTAAATTAAATTCTGTTTGTGTGTGAAAATAAAAGCAGATGTTGTGGCTTTAATTTGAAAGATTATAGTGTGATTTAAAGAAAGACAAGAAGAAATATAATAGTGATAACATAATCCAAAGTAGGTGGACTGTCGGTGGTGCAGACAGTCCGGTTGGTTTTTGTTGGTCGTGGTTGGTTCTGAATGGTTCTGGTTGGTTCCACAGGGTTCTGCATGCACAGAGCTTCTGTGTCCAAATTAAATTCTGTTTGTGTGTTTTAATTAAACCTTTATTTAACTGTGTTAGTCTCATTTAGATTAAGAATCTGCTCATTAGAGGAGAGCTGCCAAGAAAACAGCTTCAGCTCACAAACGTTAAAGCTACAGACTGTGTGTGTGTGTGTGTGTGTGTGAAGTCATGCAGAGAAAATAAAAAGAAAAGAGAAGAAGATCTCAGCTGGGAGGTCAAACATCTCATTTATAGTTTCCACTGATTAATGATTTCTTGGCTTCCTGTTTCAGAGTCCCAGCTATGATCCGTCCTCAGGGATCTCTGGCTCCTTAGACTACCACCCATTTGGGCCCCTGGGGCCGTACCCGTACGGAGACCCCTCCTACAGGAAGAACGCCACGCGAGACGCCACGGCCACACTGAAGGCCTGGCTCAATGAGCACCGGAAGAACCCGTACCCCACCAAGGGGGAGAAGATCATGCTGGCCATCATCACCAAGATGACCCTGACTCAGGTGTCCACCTGGTTCGCCAACGCCCGCCGGAGGCTGAAGAAGGAGAACAAGATGACCTGGACCCCGAGGAACAGGAGCGAGGATGAGGAGGAGGAGGACAACATCGACCTGGAGAGGAACGACGACGACGACGAGCCGATGAAAGCCAACAGCGATGAGCCAGAGATGAAGAGCAACACTGGTGAGTGGTGTGAGGAGGAAGAGTCTCTGTTTCAGCTGAAGCTCTTTAGTCAATCAAACCTTTAAATTATTAGTCTATTAATCAATTAATCCTTTAATTAATCAGTACATTGACAGAAAATTAACCAGCAGCTATTTTGATAGTCAATTAATTGTCATCTCTTAAATGAAAATGTCAAATGTCCTCTGGAAGGTGAATACTCTCTGGTTTTGTTTTTCTTTTACATCAGTAAACTGAACATCTTTGTGTTTTGGACATTTTGTCGAACAAAACAAGACATTTGAAGACGTCACATTGAGCTCATGTTCTGACATTTTATAGACCGAACAACTAATCAGTTAAACAAGAAAATAATCAACAGATTAATCAATAAACTTTAAACCATGACACCAACTCAGACTGCTGATTCGATGCTACAACACTAACAGAAAGTCGTGACATGAAGAATCAAACGTTCTGTGGTTGCAGCTTCAGTAAAAGTCGCAGTACTGCACTTTAAAAATACTTCATTACAACTTAAAGTCCTGCAATAAAAATGTCACTCAAGTTAAAGTACTTTTTTTTTTGGCAAAAAAATAGAAAAATGCCCCCTGTAAGTGTTTCACTATCATATAATAATATATTTCTGTTACTGATGCATTCATGTGTGATCAGGATTTTACTGTTGCAGTCAATGTGGAGCTCATTTTCATAGTTCTGCACACTGTTTCATCTTCAACAATGCAAACAACCCTAAACCTTTAACTATAATGTTCTATAAACTGAATCTATATAGAAACAAGTGACTACAGCTGTGGAAAATTTAAAAAAAAAGTAGCATTGAAATGGAAAAACTCTACTAAAGTACACTCCACCACTGGTCTTACATCCTCTAATAACTGAAAGCTACCTGCAGACAAGACATCGGGCTGTTGAACGTTCTGTAGTAAACATGTGTGACTAGTATTTAAGTAAATGTGTATAGTTGTATAATGAGAAATATTTTATCCGCTTTAATTAAATCTGCATGTCACCAGTTTCAGGTCAGATCGACTCATCGGCTCGTCCGCTTATATATTTGAACGTTTTTTCACAGCGTCACGCTGCAGTCTCATATGGAACTCTTTTCTTTGCTCAGTGTTTTAGGGGCAGCTAATAATAATTCATTATGTATTAATATGTGGATTATTTTCTAAATGAATCAATTAGTCATTTGATGTATAAATGTCAGAAAATGATTAAATATGTCAATATCTTCAAATGTCTTGTTTTATTCACAACCAAAATATATTCACTTTACTTCACATTCAGAGGCATCATTTTGGCTTTTGTTTCATAAAAAATGACTCAAACTGATATTACTCTATCAAAATAGTTGGCAATTATTTTTATATCAACCAGCTAATCATTGCAGCTCTAATGTTGTTTATAGTTTCATTATGTTTGTTTCATGTTAGATTGAATCTGTGAGCTTTTGTCTGTTTGTTTATGAAAAGTGTGTCGGTGGTTTAAAACCAAAAATATTAATTACTTAATCAAGAAAATAAAATGTTGATTAACTGATAAAAAAATAATGATTAGTTGCAGCCATATGTGGATGTTAGTGTGTGTGTGTGTGTGTGTATGTGTGTGTGTGTGTGTGTGTTTCCTGCTGACCTGTATGTTTATGTGCGTGTGTGTGTAGCTTCTCGTCTTCCTGCCTCTGTGGGGACCTCGTGCGTGTTGGTGTACAGAGAGGACAGCGGCAGCAGCAGCGACACCGACCGGAGCTTCACTGATCCCGACTTTAAAGACTCAGGGGACAGGAGGCTGCCCCTCATCCCGCGCCCCACTTCCACAGGGGCCCCTCCCCACAACACACCCCCAGGAACAGTCAGAGCATCGGAGCCGCAGCGAGCATCGAGCCCACCGTCAAAGGAGCACGTTGACTCCTGCAACCCCATCCAGGGGCCAAACCCGGCCCCTAAACCCAAACTGTGGTCGCTGGCTGAGATCGCCACGTCTTCAGATAAAAGTAAAGGATGTAGTGACTCTTCACAGAGCGTAGGGGCTCCCACCCACCCCACATCCACATCCCGGACCCCATTCTCACACAGCACTGCCATGCCCCGACACCTCTACTACACCTCCCCCTTCATCCCCGGATACTCCAGCTACGGCCCTCTGGGGCCCCTGCATGGCGGCCCCGCCTCACATTTAAATGGATTACAGCAGACGATGCTGCAGAGAGCAGAGGCCATAGCCAGAGACTGCAAACTACACAGTCAGAGCCAGCTGGACCTGCACGAACTCAAGAAGGGCATGACGAACGTGTGACCTGAACCTTTAACACTTTATTTACTGGGACCAGTAGACCTGGACCCTGGAAGCAGTAAACCTGGGACCAGTAAACCTGGGACCAGTGACCCTGGGACGAGTGTTGGTGGAATTCTCCCGTGAAATGTCCTGGATATCAAAGAAAACTTTATCGAACACAGACTGCCTCCTGCAGAGGCCTCTGACTTTTATTTAGAAACACAAATATTCAATTTTAGATGGTTTTTCTATGTTGATAAGATGTAATCTTTGTAGTGCGTTTCTGCACAGAACATGAAGTATCATTAAAAGCTAGTTTTATTAATACGGATCTGACCACCTGCCATTTGTCAATGGATGTTACACTCTTACTCACCTTAAATTAACGACTCAGGAAAAATATGATCAGAAGCTTTTAATTAGATCAACTGCAGTGTTTCGGGAGAAACTAGATTTACCTCCTTGCGGACGAATCCGACAAGTTACAGTTTACATCCATGTCTGTGAGAACATGTATGCCTCACACACATCTTCCCTCCGGTAGTGCAGAAGATCTATACAGTTAGCACAGTTTCAAGATCAGTGTCACCAATTCAGTATCTGATTGAATAACGGCCTGAAAAGTGTTTTTGCAGAACATTATGATGTCACATTGAAGTTGACCTTTGACCTTTTGGATATAAAATGTCATTTCTTCATCATCTTGTCCAGTTAGACATTTGTGTGAAATTTTGTCGAATGAATTCTTGAGTTATGGCCAAAAACACGTGGGGTCACAGTGACCTCTGACCACCAAATTTTAATCAGCTCATTGTTGAATCCAGGTGGACGTTTGTGCCAAATTTGAAGAAATTTCCTCAAGGTATTTTTGAGATATTGCTCTCACAAGACCGGGACAGACTGAAAAACACAATGCCTCCGGCCACGGCGTAGAAAGAAGTTGAAGGATAAAGATACGCAAAAATTCTACCTCCTTCTCTTCTTCATATATCACTCAGTATGACTTCTCATTATCTCTGATGTCCATCCAGAATAAACTTCCATAAAGTCACTCAGAAGTCACAGAAAAAAGAATCATCATGTTTTTAGGTTTTCTTCTTTATCAAATTAACGGACACTTTGACTACATGGAATCGAAGAAAGGATAAAAACAGGTTAAGAAGCTATTCAGACTCAATAGTATTAAAAAGTCTTACATTTAATTTACAGAAGTTAAATGTCTTGTCTCTTGACTGCTGTAGGCAGTGATGTTAATTCTAAAATCTTTCTGTATGTGATTGTAGGCTGTCAGCAGATGTTCTACACCTTTCTTTGTGGAGTTTCAGTCAAACTCCGTCACTACTGCAGCTACAGCAGCCAGGAGATGTTGTGTTAGCATTAGCAGCTTTGAAGCTTCAGTGATAATTAAATGCAAATATTCAAAGTTTTGACATGATGTGATGCAACCGGGGGCGGTGTGGCATAATCGGAATCAATTATATTCATATGGGCTAATCAACAACCTGAACCCAACCCGACTTTAGCGGGACTTGGCACCCCTAAGAGTGTGAGAGAGGGGAAGAGAAGGTGGAAGGTGGACTATTGTACGCAATGTTTCTGTAAGTTATTAACAACCAAACATCGGGGGCAGGGCTGCATCACTAGACGCAAAGCAAGCACTTCATTACAGTTGGCAGGTGTGGATAACCGTCTGCAGCTCTTCTCTCCTGTTTCTGTTTCTCGTCAGACTCCTAATTTCATTGCTTGAAGCGAAGGTCAATGACTGTGCTGAAGACGCTGGCCTCATTCGTGTCCAACACTTCCTTTGAATTTCCTCCACCAGTTTACTGATGAAAAACAAAACTAAAACACAATGCATTCAACTACTGATTTAAATGTTGATTACCTTGGCAGCGATTGAAGCTTTGGAGCTTTGAAGCATTCAGGTAACTTCTTGTGTGAAGGTAGTATAAAATATCCACAGTGTAAATGGCGGACTCCGCCACCGACAATGAAGGCTACTATATAAAGAGATAATTACTGAATGTCAAAACATTAAATGACTACTGCAGAATAAACCAATTGGCCATAAATAGAATCTAAAAGATGTGGTATGATTTCATAAAAACATTCATGATTGTAACGTTAAATTAATTTTTAATTGATTCATTCATTTTCTGTGGCTTATCCAGGTCCAGTTCACATTAGTTTAATTAACCATATCTTTAGAAATTATTATTATTTACTGCTGAGAAGTGCTGAAAAAATGCAATATAATAATAATTTCTGAGTCATATGGTCCCGACTGGTTTTCCATCAGCTTCTTTAATGTGGCCAGAATGATGTTTAAACAGGTATAAAATATTATTCTATGTGTGATTAAAAAGGTCTTAAAAAGTCTTCAATTTATCTATGTGAAATCTGCAGATATCCAGGGGAAGCTTGCCTAAGGCGCCAAATCTTCTCGGTCCAGCCTGTTCTGCATTGTGATTTAAAGGTCCACTGTGTAAGATTTAGGGGGATTTAGTGGCATCTAGTGGTGAAGATTACACATTGCAACCAGCTGAAACTTCTCCTGGTTAAAATTCCGTCAGTCAACATGGCAGTGTAAAATGGCAATCTCCGTAGACGAAGACCTGCTCCCTGTGTAGATATAAACAGCTCAATCTAACGTAATTAAGACACAAAGATTCTTATTTTCAGGTGATTACACCCTAAAGAAAACATACTTATATTATATTCGCCTAAATCCTACACACTGAACCTTTAAATAATTTTATCGTCTTCAAGTTGTTTCTTATTTCTGCCGCTGTCGTAACACAACAAAAATCTACCATTCCTTAAAACACGTGAAATAATAAAAACACAGCATTAACACAATTATCACAGTAAGTTAACATGTCTTGATTTCATAAGTTATCAGCTATATGCGCCGAACAGCTTCATATTTTGGGAGGATAATGAGACATATTGCTTTACATCAACTTATGAGCCACATATCGCTGACAGGTGTTAAACAACCACAACTCAAAAACTCTACATACTCAACACACTGGAACATTTAAAGGTATACTGAGTTAACATAACACTGGAACCTCTCAACACTAATCTAATAACTCATCGCAGAGGAGTTTCTTTCAACATTTGATGGGACACAGGTAGCTGAAGGTCGGGAGGAAAATTAAGCATTGGAGATCTGCGTTCTGGCAAATTTTTCCGCATCAATTTGCGGTGGAAATCAATCTGCTATCAACACGTATAGTAATAGTGACACCTGGTGTTCACAAGAAGAACTGCAGCGAGACAAATATAGATTTAATTTTAAAATAACTCACCGGCCATTCAGCAGCCCCATCTACTAGAAACTGTGTTTATAAATCAGGAAATTAAAAAACGTAATCTGTCGATTACACTCATTGTTTTGGGTGAATGAGGTGACACATTCACGTCTCACACTGCAGGGGAAAAACAAATGAAACGTACACATTTATTGACATTTCGTCATTATGTTGATAGAAAATGTAATACGTTTTCTTAAAAATGTGTTTGCAGTTGGAAATTAGTTACATGTAGATATCATTTTTAGGAGACCGAGTTTAAATGAAGGTGCTGGGACAGCCCAGTCTCCAGAAAAAAAATACCGTAAAACTTCAATTTAACGCCCAGTCCCTTTTACTAGACCAGTGTGGCTTCACATTTTGACAAACAAATGCCTGTCTCCATTAGATTAGATGCTTGATCTGGTTGCCATGCAGTTCATTTTTTTTAAGAAGTTGTTTGGATCTACCTTAAATTATGTGCCCATTCCTGAATTACTCTATAGGTTATTCACATTCCTTTAGTCCATAACAGTCCTCAGATCAAAGGAATCAAACAAGTTCTTCATAAAAAATTATGGAGCTAGATCAAATGAATGATTCATAACTCATATATTATCTAAGCCTTATTTTTAAATAAGTAATATTCATACTGGTTTAAATAAACAATTTGATTGTATTTCTTGATCTTTGCTGATCAACAGTTTTGTGTTAAAGGAATTAAAGGCCTGTCCCAAATATAGGTCTGATGAGTTCAGTGATTTAAGGAAATAATAGCCCGGGCTACTAATTGAAGTTTTACACTTTGTTAAATTTTTACGTTTCATATGTCTCATATCAATGTTTCTAAAGCGATGTAGCATATGAGCTGACTTTGTCAGCAGGAGGTGGATGGGATGGTGGATGGTGTGATACCAAGGAGAGACCACTATTCAAATAAACAACAAAACCAGTTGTTGTTTTGCCATCAAACATGGGTGATTCTTCGTGAACCATTGCTGTTTTTCTTGCAGGGATAGTGCCACAAAAAGCGGATGTTTTTTACAGAGGCATCGTTACTTTTCCCCCACGGTTTGTGCCCCAAAACCAGGTATTTTAAGCCCAAGCACAATCTTTTCCTGACCACAACCAAGTGACTTTTGTGCCTAAAGTGTTGTTGAAACTTAAAGTTTAAACGTATCCGCTACATAATAATGTACAAACTAGGGCTGGGTTAAAATAATCAATTCACCCGATTCAAATCGATTTTCATTTGAATGACTTGATATTGATTCATAAAATCCAAGACAGATATTTTTAATGTATACGTTTTCTCATTCACATTCTAGCAAAAATTGGTTTTGTAACTGAAATATCCCCAATCGAATAGATTTGGAATCAAATCGGGAAATCCGTGGCGATACCCAGCCCTTGTACAAATGTAACACATCAATGGTTTGTAGAAATGTACGATGCCAACATTCATTCTGGTGATTGCCGCCACATGGCCCGCCGGCCGTAGTTTGGACACCTCTGATGTAAAGAGAGTGATTTATTCTCTTTAAGCCTACAGAGTTTCATTTTGTAACAACAGGAGAGTCGACCTGTGTGTAGAGAGCAGCAGGTCTTTATATCAACATGTCACACACACACACATACACACACACACACAGAGTGCAGCAGTAGGTAGCATTAATCTGCCCATTGAGCTCTAACAGCTGCTCTGACAAACGGGAGGAAAAAGCTGGAAGCGGTTCAATTTCAGCAGCGAGAACATCGGCAGTTAAGAAGCTTAAATCTTTTACATTTCTCACATTTCTCACATCTCTCACATTTTCTTGGGGCATCTTTGAGGAATTAATTGTGTAAATTTCAGATGGAGTTGCTTCTCTTTTGAAGCGGGCGGATTTGATCCTGATCCTACAGCAACAAACACTGAGTGTGTGTGTGTGTATCAGTATGTGTGTGAGAGAGTTTAATCTGCGAGGCTGAAAGGGTCCACGCTTCATGTTTCATGTTTCATGTTTTTATGTTCAGGAGGAGGAAGAGGATGCTG